TGGTGGCTGCCGCCTTTTGCCGCCACCAGCTCCCATGTTGGGTGGCGGTGTGCATTTATGAGTGATTAGATGGCTATTTGGGATGCTTAGGCATGATTTGGACTAGAATCATAACCACCACTATGAGGTGGTGGATGTCGCTGTGAGCTACCATCGACCACCACCGCCTGAGGTGGCAGTGGGTAGTGCCCGACCTAATGAAATCCCTGTTGACCTAATGAAACCCTAATTGATCTAAAATCCTAACCATTTGACTAATTGGCACGTGACTAGGTTGAAAACCCTAATTAGGGTTTAGAAAACCCTAATTTTGGATATGTTAGTTTTGGAGTATCGGGACCCGCATCTTGGACGATTAGAATTGAATTACGAATTACGCCCGACCACACCGCATGATTGACATAGTAGAATGATGGAATTAATGGATTAAGTCCTTAATGGGTTAAGTGTTTTAATTAACCCTAATCATCATTTTATGTGAAAACCCTAATTATGTTTGGGCTTCATGTTGAGCCTTCTATTGGGCTTTGGTGATTGGGCTATTGATGGGCCGTCTAAGAACAAGTATATGGACTAGAATATTGGATGTGCTTTAGGGTAAGGCCCATGTGAGGGGTTTGGGCCCAATTTGGAAATTGGGCCATAATTTTGCTTTTGGGCCTTGGTTTGGACCAAGTTAGGTTAAGGGTAAAATAGTCTCTTTACCCCAAGTGTGGGGTTATGGTTATGCATTGGAACCCTATTATTAATTGGATGTTGTTTTGATGTTGACAGTTTGGGGATCTGTCAGCCAGCAACTATTGTTTGAACTCTGGGACTTCAACAGCGCGAGGTGAGTCTCCTCACTGTTTTTATGGGTCAAAGGCACCATTGTCGGCCCATTTGGTTTATGTATTGTAGGAAGACGCGGGGGTTAGCCCTAGGCATTATGTATGAAAGACCAGGAGGCCACTCCTAGCACATTGTATGCTATTATCTACGGTAGGAAGACCCATGGGTTAGACCTAGGAATTATGTATGAAAGACTAGGAGGTGGCTCCTGGCATACTGTATACTAATTGGCTAAGTAGATTAGTATGTATGCTAGTTGTCTTTGTGATGCTTACATGGAAGACCAAGAGGTGGATCTTGGAACTTGTCTATAAGACCGAGGGGGTGGCCCCCGACTTGTCAAGAAAGGCCACGTGGTGGTCCGTGGCATAATGGTAAGACTATGTAGTGGCACACAACATTTTATTTGATTATTATATATGAATGATATGTATGGCTCACAGTTATGTATGGTAGTATCCGATTGAAAAAGACTGAAGGGGTAGGCCAACACCCGGATATTCTAGGTAGTATGTTTATTGTATAGTATGTGATATTTGGGGAACCCACTAAGCCTCGTGCTTACGGTTTTTCAGTTTTGGTTTCAGGTACCTCCAATTTTCAATTAAAGGAGCTCGGGACGATCGTAGTGCATACACCTGTGTTTTTCCGCAATGTGTGATTTTTGAGAATGAACTCCGATAAATGTTTTAGTTGAAATGCTTTTCTATGTGTGAGCAAAGTTACAATAGTGTTTTAGTTATACTAAAAATGAAATTTTTGGTCCTGAATTTTGGGATGTTATAAACGATTCTTATAGAACTACATGGGTCCGCTAAGAAGAAAACCAACAAGGAAGTACTGATACACACCGATAATATTTCTAACAAGTCAACATTCTACATATGCTTGACCAAAATTGCCTTTTTATTAAGCCACTGGTAGTATCTCCATACTTCTCAAACACTCACATATGCCAAAGGACCAACAAACCAAACACACGAATCTCCACTACACAATTGCCAGGCCTAAATCACATAAGTCGTATCCACGATGGTTCACAATATGTCGTGACACCATCCAATTATTGAAATAATGTGACAAATGGGAAATTTAAGTCATTGTGTAGATATGTGATTTCCCATCGATAGTACTCACTTTAAGGGTTCGTATAAAGGAAAAATGTTAGTTTATGTCTCAAAAGATGCTAACAATAATATATTACCGATTGCTTATGCTATTATCAATGAGAAGATTGTGCACACCTTGTGTTGTTTTTTTGATCAATTTAGAAATTTTGTTGCTCAAAATAGACAATTATGCGTTATTCCAACATGCATCAAGGAATAATTCATGCAATGGTGAATTATTGGTAGCAGATCATCGCTTCTGTCTGCGACACATCATAAGTAATCTCATGAAAAATAAAAGAGATTGAGACTTAATAAATCTTGTAGAGCTTTATATACAAAAAAGAAAATTTATTAAGTGTATCAACAAAATGAAAGCAATCGGTCTTGAGGCATGGCAATATTTAAGGCAAATTGACAAAATTCAGGGGTGTCTTTTATATTAAAAAAATCACTGATAGGGTTTCTTAACAACAAATATATCTGAGAGTATGAATAATACACTGTGAGGAGCAACATAATTACCAATTAGGGCATGTATTGACCTTACATTCAATAGAATCGTGCAACTATTTATAAAGCATAATGATATTGGAATAAATTGCAATACACATCTACCATCACGTATGTGACGTCTCTTTTAAGCGAGGCACTCAAGCACAAAGTCAAACTTTGACTATAATGAAGGTGTGTACATGCTCATTACAAGGCCACAAATAAATAGAAGCAGTGGATTTTAGCATACTATTCCTTATTTCGAACATATGTGCACATGTGCTAAGTGGCAAATGGAAAGATTTCCATGTTCACATGATTTTGCAATTTTTTTAGCATACTATTCCTTATTTCGAACATATGTGCACATGTGCTAAGTGGCAAATGGAAAGATTTCCATGTTCACATGATTTTGCAATTTTTCCATTGTGAATGTGGTGTGAACTAGTGTTACATATAAACAACAATATAATGTTGGTTTTGCACCACTTCCTCATGTTGAATATTGGTTGGATTCAAATTGCGCGATTGAAGCACATTACTAAAAACTTTGCACTGCTCGAGGTCGGATGCCTACAAATCGTATTCGTAATGAAATGGAAATTCGTCATTCTGATGAACCTCATAGATGTGAAATGTCACCAGCCTAGTCATAATCGGAAAAATTGTTTGAATTCTTAACCAAGGTATAATGTGATGTAAACCATGTCTTTTTTATTGATCTCGAAATTTCAAGTTTATTTGATATTGTAAAACTTATGTATTTTACTTTTATAATTTCATGTTAATTTGGTCTTGTAATTTTTTAATGTTATCATCATGATGAGAATTATGTGTTTATTTTGTTGTATGTATAGTTTTAGTAATATTAAATATTAGTATTGATTTGAAAATATTAATAAGATATTGTATAAATTGTTAAATACTATATATAAAGTTTAATAATATATTCATAATAAAATGATTATATATATATATATATATATATATATATATATATATATATATATATATATATATATATATATATATATATAAATGATAAATATGTAATGTATCATAAAGCAACAAAGACCCATTTATGTAACTATATAAAAAAACATATGCAAGGAATTGGGGCCACGGCCCCATTTTTGCAAACAAAAAACATACAGTCCCGTTTATGATTATTTAGCTACAATTGTTGGACGTCAAGATAAGTTGTAGATTGTTAACTATGAGCATTGAATAATCACATGGTATGAGATCTACAGATTCTTAGGATTTTCAACCAAATTTCGAGAGAGATATTGAAATTGTTGATTGTATTGGTAATATTATTAGAGAATTAAATATAATTCTATTTTTTTCCTACAAATTCTTCTATCAAATTAAATATATAGTGTCATGTGTAATATTTAATATTCATTTAATAATATTTTAGTATATCATTATGACACGTATCATCATTTAAATGGGTAGAAAGATTTGTAGAAACAAAAAATAAAAGTATATTTAATTTCTCATATTAATATTCTAAGGATGTTATTGGGAACTGGGTAATCTTTTTCCCAAATCTTGATTACATTATTCCGTTGATTAGTAGGCTTACCTAGTAGTTTAATGATTTTACTAAGCTTTTTCGTAAAATATTTGGATTTCAGGATTCGAGTTCGGGAAAGAAGTTGGCACTTCTAGGGTGAGGGGTGGTCTTTATCTCCTGCAAGTTGAACAACCACATAAGCCCTTTGGTTATTCGTTCCATGTTACTTCTAGTAAAAAAAATTATGTTATGTTCTAGCATAATATCATTTTCTCAAACCTATTGCCTTTATAATAATAATAATAATGATAATAATAATAATAAATGCTTTTAAAGCATCTCACAACTTCTAACTAGTGATGTATGGTGACCATATTGATTCAAGAATTAATATTTCTGGCTCAAGATGGTTTGTTACATTCAATGACGACTATATGCGTATTAGGTAATGGGGTATGGTTTTTTTTTCACGCGTAAGAATTCTATGTGGAGCCTAAATGGAGGAGATATTCACTAGTGAACACCGCCCCCCAATAGGAGTAATGGTGGTGTGGATTGAAGCTAATTACAGGTTCTCACACCCAATCAAAACCGTCTCTCTTTCTCTCTTTTTTCTGTCCCACTCTTGTTCACTAGTGAACACCACCCCATCAATAGTAAATGAATTGTGAAGACCTATAAAGGATGATATAGAATGATTTTCTTGCGTGTTGATACCCATAGCCTTATTGGAACAAAACAAAATGTGCAACAAGAAAGCTCAAAAGTCAAAACCAAATCATATTTTCATAATCCTCAAATCATATTTTCATATATAAGAATGTAAAACATAGATTTCTATATATAAATTAACAATGAGGGATAATAGTGCTGAATATTGATTCTTTTAGCTTAACCCATGCTGCTTGACGATAAGATATGCTCAGCAGGGAAGCACAAACAGAGACGACTATAGAAATTACCTGATAATTTCAGAAACATATTCCGAATGTTCTGTCCCACAATTCTACACCAAAAGAAACCAATTGTACTCTTGCAGATGTTTAAGGTGATGTTTGCCTCCGGAGCCTAGCGAAACTCAGCTCTAGTCTTAGAAGAAACGAGTTAATGACGACATTCAAGAACCCAAAATAGGCATGTCTCCATGAATGTTTGAGAATCAACGACCCACAAAAACCCCAAAACCCAAAGGCAACACCAGCCACAACGCTAACAATGAATCGCTTATCTAACTTATCATCATCGGATTCTTGTTCTGAAATATCTTGGTTTGTACTTCTTGCCTCATCACCAGGGCATACGTTCAGCAGCGGAACCCCACAAAGATTAGAATTTCCAGCATATGACGACCCGTTGAAGCTCTGTAACTGCGTGCTCTTTGGGATTCTTCCGGACAAGTTGTTAAAGGACAAATCCAAGAACCCTAGATAGCTCAATTGTGCAAGGCTTGTAGGGATTCCTCCACCCAGGTTGTTTCTCGATAGATCAAGAAAATCCAACTGACCCAGACGACCGATGTCTTGAGGTATTGATCCGGATAACGAGTTTCTCGAAAGATTCAAGGCAATGAGACCCAAAAGACTCGTCATCTCACCTGGGATTTCGCCTGTTAGTCTATTGCTAGAAAGATCAAGGCTAACGACAAGACGCAACGTATTTTGATACTCTGATCGCCTTCCTTTCCATTGCAGTAACACTTTAAACACAACCCTTGCTCTGACAGCTAGTCTTGTTCGTACCAACCCCACTGCATTGTACTCAAAACTTGATCGCAAGGTACCTCTATCCCTCATACTCATCCCTGTAATATTATTGAGGCATTTGGGTATGTTCCCCGAGATATTGTTAACAGAGAGGTCCAAAATTTGAATCATCTCGAGCTTACATAAGCTTGTAGGAATGGCTCCATGAAACTGATTCGACTGTAAGCTAAGAACAAGCAGCAATGACAAGCTTTCCCCTAACCATTCCGGTATCTTCCCCGACAGTTGGTTTTCTCCAAGATCAAGAAGTAGCAACGAAGTGCAGTTTCTTAAGGATGCTGGCAGCTCCCCTGTCAAACTATTGCCTCGAATACTTATCATAGAAACAAACTCCAGGGCCCCCATGGATTCAGGCACTACCCCAATAAATCCATTGTCTTCAAGGTTCAAAATAGCCAGGTTATTAAGAGTGTTCCAGCAATTTGGAAGCTCTCCTGAGAGTTTGTTATTAGAAAGATCAAGACGGCTTAAAGTAGTCAGGTTACACAAGGAAGAAATCGACCCGGATAAGATGTTGCCATTGAGCTTTAGAGTAACGACGTCAAGAGGAAACAATGGTAAGTTACCCGAGAAGTTATTTGAGCTCATATCGATTATAGGTTGGTTACCGGATATAAAATCCAAATCCGGAATCATCCCATGGATCTGGTTCGAGGAGAGATTTAAGTATCGAATGCCTGGAATTAACGATTCCCAAAACCAATTGGGGACGGAATCATTGATTCCGGTATTAGATATATCAAGCACGGAGAAGTTTGTTTGAGTTCTTAGCCATCTCGGGAAAGAACTCCCGAGTTTGCAGGATGACAACGAGATGGTTTCGAGTTGAAAAGTTGCAGACAAATTGGAACCGATTTCTATAGCCAGGGAGTTATTCGACAAATCAAGGTATCTCAAACGAGAAAGATTAGCTACATGCGTTTCAGATATCGTTCCTTGAAAGAAATTCGAAGATGCTCCCAAAGACTCGAGCATGGAGAGAGGATCTAACTTTTCAGCTAGAGTTCCATTTAATAGGTTTCTTTCAAAATACAACTCCCGCAATGAAGCTAAGGCAGAAAAATCAGGAAGCAATCCGTTGATACTATTATCTGCCAAATCAAGGATCGATAGATTCGAGATTTTTTCAAATTTTCGTGGGAAAGATCCGTTCAACTGATTTTGTCCAAGGTACAGTTCCTTGAGAGATGTGAATGTTGTAAAATCAGGCAAAGAACCGCTTAGTTGATTCCCATATAAATCAAGAACCTGTAACGACATCTGTGGCAAGTTGCTGAAAAAACTAGGAAGGTCTTGGTTGAGATTGTTCCCAGATAGGGAAAGTTCCCGTATCTTGCCCAAGTTTCTAAATGAAACTGGGATACCACCTTCGAGGCCATTGTTGGTCAAATCTAGGGTTTGAAGGTTTTTAAACGTACCAAATTCTTCAGGAATGATACCAAGGAGCTCGTTGTCTGAAAGATTGATGTCAGTAAGGCTGCTACTAAACTTGAATAACCAAGGGTATATCTCAGAGGCTGGAAGATAGTTAGAATTGATATCAAGAACTGCAAAAGAATCGGATAAGTTTGTCATGGAGCGAAAGAAAGATTTGGCAGTGTTATTCGGAAGCAAACAGTTTACAAGGCGTAAATCTACAAGGGAGGGTAATTTGATTGCGTTACTCAGTAAACCAACTGAGTCACTGAGGTCTATATAACTTAGATTTAGGTACTTGAGAGAGGAAAGATGGGAAAGCCAATCTGTGGTCTTTAAGACGATCGATGTAGCTGAAAGATCAAGAGTTTGTAAGCTGGAAAGATTGCCTAATTGATGCGGAAATTTTGATGAAGTTAACTCGATGTTAGTGAGTTTGAGGTGTTGTAGTGTCTTGAGGGAACCAAGGAAGTTTGGGATACGAGTGAAACTGTTTCCACTCAAATCTAAATATGTCAAAGAATTTAATGAAAGCAATGAAGAACCGATTTCACCACTGAGACCAAGCAATTGATCAGCTTCTTCTAACCAAACTGCAGGAAGATCAAGCCTAATGACTTGGCCTGTGTTGTTGCTGCATCCTACACCTCTCCATTTACAACAATCTCGTGAAGTGTTGGTATTTCTCCATGACTTGAGAAGGGCGTAATCGTCCACGAGCCCTTTTTTGAATTGCAAGAGTGCCATCCGGTCACGCTCTGAGCACCTTGTTTGGGCATGGTTTCTTCTATGGATACAGGAAACAAGATAGATATTGCTGAATATGAGAATGAAAAGCAAATAAAGAGGAAGATTCATGAGAGATGAATTTGGTTTCAAGAAACCAAAACGAATTAATATGAATTTCTTGTACAAATATACCTCGCAAACACTGATATTATTTGTAGAGTTATGGGCAATATTCTTTTTTATATTATAATATTAAGATAAGATGATGGCAAACAATAGTTGACTATGGAGATTTTATACTTCCAAAATGTCAAAGGTAGCATTTAACAGATGTCATCCCCTTCACAACGACATTCTCATTTTATGATATTTTAAATATATAATTAACAATCTTGCATATCTTGGACATAATCCTAGTTGTTTGGATACCGAACAATAATTCTACTAACTTAGACATGATGTGGAATGAGAAAACTGCAATAGGCCAGCAAGGAAGATGCATGAGCAATAATATGGTTCCAAGCATGGAATTCTAACTATCCTAATCTTAATATTATTATCTATAGTAATGTTATTATTTTTAGAGTTGACTAGAGGTTTTATATTATAAAATTAAGATAAAATTGACTATGGAGATTCTTCGGTTGCAGAATCTCAAAGGCGACCTAAAAACAAAAGTGTGGTCTTCATACTACAGCCTTTTCCATCCACAAGATTGCTTATTATCTAATATGGAATTTTTAATTAATATTTATCGAGTTATGCGCAATATTATTTTTTATATTATAAAATTAATATTGGATGATAGCAGCTATAGTTGACTTTGACTATGGAGGTTTTACAAGTTCAAAATGTCAAAGGTAGCATTAACAATGTGCCATACCCTTGCAAATACTCAGACGTTTGCTAAGAAATGAGGTCCAACCTTCCTGATTATACCGAATATAGTATACCTAAAAGACCCCAAATGACTACCATTAGCAGGTAAGGACCCAGGATTGCTTAGTATGTGTTACCAGTGGTACATTTTTACTTTTACGTAGTGGTACAAATATAGAAAAAACGAAAATTTCAAATTTTATACACTGTATCCGAAAAAAACAGGGGTTGCTGGTGCCACTACAGACATCATAGTGGAACCGTCACTGACCATTAGTGTGCCAACTGTGTTCTATTCGGGTTAGTGGGCCATAAAGCTCAAGCCCGACATGCATGAACCCTATAAATAATGTGTTGTATTTTTCAACTGTAACCTAGATATATCAAATCTGAACACAACCCGCCTAACCCGTTGATTTATAAGGATTCGTGGGTTAGAATCATGCTCGTGGGTCATGTTTGTTTAATTAGGGAAAATTCCAGAAAATGAAACTACTAAACACATCCAAATTTTGAAAAATAATTTATAAACAAATCCAAATAATAAGTTAAAAACATTAATGCAAACTCACAACAAATGAACACATCGGGCTAAGGAAAAGAAACCATGAACTGAGAAACGCACTTGCTTATGTTTACTGATGTATGATATTACATGTTAGTCATTAGTCCTTACTCAACTCCCTTAGGCATTTGTTTAATTAATATGTTTTACTTGTTAATCTAATAAAATAAATGAGTTGACATAACCTCTATAATAAAGAGCTTATGCAGGTTGCTGGTTACGGGTTGGATAATAGTGGGTGGAAAACTCAACTCAAACCATTTTATTTGCATGTCGGGCTCGTGTTGTGTCGAGAATTTTCACCCATAACTACCATTAACAAACAAGGTCAAAGAAAAAAAAAGGTATGTGATATGTTTGTTTAGATATGTCATCAAGAACTTAACAAGTAGAAATTTGAAGTTTAACCACTAGTATTGAGAAAGAGATCAGTAGTTGAGGATATAACAGATGAGTTTCATAGGTTACAAAAATCTTATTTTGGCGGAAAAACTTAAAACCTAAGTTTACATGCAACCTAAAGGGTCTATGTTCTCACTATGATGTGCAACAAACAATTGAATATCAAGAACCCTAAAAGTACATTGCTATTTTCGAAATTAAGAAAAGGATATTATAAATTACATACTTTTAGTTTATTATAGCAAATAAATTAATATACCTTTTTTTTATTGGTCTTTAGAAAGCAAACAACAGAAGTCTCGTGCCTCTAATGGTCTACACCCAAACTTTAGCAATTAAAAGCTAAAGAGGAGGGAGGAGTGTCACACCCCGAAACCGAAGGCGGAAACATCTCGGGGCGGAGGTGACTTCATGAGAATATCATAACCAATGTACGTAGTAAGCGAAGTAAAACACAAAACATTACATTACATAGATTTTATTACATCAGTTGAAAAGTAAAGTGTTACAAGTTCTGCAAAAGGACGCGGGGTACCAGTCTAAGTAGAACCTGAGAATACAAACATTTTAAAAATCAACATAAAGCTGGTGAGTTCATAAGCGGTTTGTTTTTATGAAAATGTACAAGATTCCTTATGATTTCTGAAAATGTTACAACCCAAGGAAAATCCCATATTTTCCTAATGTGAAAGATGTATACTGAGAACCTGATTAACCTTGTAAAGTGTGTTTGTTTACCAACCCAAAAATGTAATGTAAAACATGTATACTGAAAGTAAAGTTTAGTTGTTCTGTTATGTTACACTGTTCTGGTTATGAATTGTGATTACCCCAGGAAAATCCTATATTTTCCTAATGTGAAAGATGTATATTGAAAGCCTGGTTACCCTTGTAAAGTGTGTGTTAGTTTACCGACCCGAAAAGTAATGTAAAAGATGTATGTTGAAAATGTATTAGTTTTAACACGTTTATAAAACTAATATATACCAAGTAAACTAGTTACTTAACCCATTATTACTATAAAGTAAATCTCTGTTATCCAAATTGCAAGTTCTATAACCATACTGAAGACTAAATATGGCAAAGGAAAGCCAATATCACTATGACTTTTGTTACCCTTGAACCTTTCGGTTCGGCTGTAGCTAGCAGTCAGGTGCGGGATAGTGAGTCCCGTATATATCTATACACTCAAGTTACGCTCCCTACCTAAGAGATTCTGGTTACAGAGGCGGTCCTCCACTTGCGTATCTCTGTGGAGTGTTCTCCGAGGACGTGTCTCCAATTTATAGGAATAACAAATTTACAAAGACGATCCTCCACTCGCGTATCTCTGTGGAATGTTACCGAGGACAAAATGATATACTAAGCTTCTAGTTCAATGTTCAAAGATTATGTTTTTAACTATTTATAATATGGAAACCATTTGTGAAAATATAAAATATAACAATTTATAGCATTTTTCACAAATACTATGATAATGAAATCTGCAAGTTCAAACGGTTAACTGATATGATTAACAGTGTTAAAAACATATGTAGTATGAAACACAACACTTATAAATAAGTTTTGAGTACAAGTCTTACTTGTACTTTGCTTGTATCCCCCCCCCCTGAAAACAGTGAAAAACATTGAAAAAGGGTAGGGGTATGAACTCACCGGACGAGAAATGTGTCGATGGGGATGCTAAACGTCGGATCGAGGCTTGAATACGTGCGAGGTTCCTATGTAATGTTAAATGATACACAATTGTATCTAATTAGACTTTAAAACACTAATCAGATACGATTATACACTCCAAGACGCGAAACACTTCAAATTAAATGTTTGGAGTGACCCGGGTGACTTTTCTGCACATGAATGGCTAAGGAATGGAGTTTACTCTCCAAGAGTAAACTCTAGGGAGTGTTCACGGCCTTAAACACCTCATCCCCATGAGTTTACGGCCGTAAACTCATGGTGGGGTGTTTTATGTGCTAAATGGCCTTAAATCAAATGAGGGGTGTTGCTAGGTTTGGTTCTAGGGCATTATCAAGGAATTAACTCAACCATATGGACCAATTTATGAGTTTACGGCAGTAAACTAAGTGTTTACGGCCGTAAACTCTCACCCACATCATTCTTAATTGTTTTGAAGGTCATTGATTTATTCCAAGTGATTCTACTCAATTTACAAGCCAATGGGTGAGTTAAAGGCATCAAATAACCCATATTTAGGAGTTTACGACCCTAGAGCATATGCTATGGCCGTAAACTCTCAAATAGAGGGTTTTTGTTATGTTTAAGGCCCCCAAATAATTTTTGGTTGGTTCTAGGATTTATTTCAAGGCTTATGAGGTGTGTAAGTTGCATTTTAACACCCAAAAAGGAGTTTACTCCCCATGAAATGGTGTTTACGGCCCAAGCTTGTTCTTGAGCAGTAAACTCATGTTTACTCCTCAAAAATGATATTCAAGGTGTTCTAAGTCCAGTCGAATAAGTCCTTAAGCCATATCTAAGCTCCTATGGTGATTTGGATGGGTTTTAAGGCTCAAAAACCCCATTTACATGTGTTCACGGCCTAAGGATGTTCCAGGGCTGTAAACACATTTTTATGGTCCTATTCCATGATTTGAACATGAAAATGAAGGCTAAGGATGTTATACTAGGAGCTAGGATGATTACCTTGGTGTTGTGAGGCTTGAAATGGATGATTTTGGACCAAATTCTTGAGTTGAGGAGAGAGGTTAGAGAGAGAGTGAAAAGGCTCCAAATGAGTCTTAATTCACTTTAAATATGGTTTGAATTGGATACACGGTGGAATTCTACCCAATACCAACGTTAACCGATGCTTTGGGTCGCACCCGATTAAGTTGTCGTTACCCGATATGGTCGAAACTAAAATTTTTCAAATTACTAGTTTAGAACATTTTCACATGTTTCCAACATGTTTGGATACTTACAAGGTCAAAATAAAAGTTTTAACTTAATTGACCTAGCTCGAAGACGAAATCGGAACAACTCGCTTAAGACGAGTTTTATTAACGAAACGGTTACGGCGAGGGAACAAAATTTCAGGTTGTTACATTATCCCCCCTTAGAGGGAATTTCGTCCCGAAATTCAAGAATTAAGATACAATTTATGGAAAAGGATGCAAATGTTTCTACTGTATCGGGTGTTCGCGCTCCCAAGTGAATTCAAGTTCTCGCTTGAAAGTCCAGCCAATCTTCACTAACAGGATATGGCTTTGTTTTGTACGTTTGATCTCTCGGTCTATGGTCTCGATTTGTTCAAGAGGAATTACTA